TAGTATAGTATAGTATAGTATAGTATAGTATAGTATAGTATAGTATTAGTATAGTATAGTGTAGTTCGGTGCAGTATAGTATAGCACAGTACAGTACAGTATAGTATCGTATCGTATCGTATCAGTGAGGGCGCCGGAGTATACTGTCTTCTACGGCACTGTAAGATGACAGTAAGTTCATAATCAGTCAATAGAGGGCAGCAGCAGACAGCAGTGATAAGTGAGCGACTCATCACGTGTGAATAACAGTGGCCAGCAGTATACCAGTTAAAAAATAACCTGCAATTTAACATATTTACTAAATTTACATAAATTTGTAAAATATTAACTTAATTTACTTAAACATTTAAATGTTTTTAAATTAAATAACTTCTTATATCAACTATGAATTTAATATAATTTGTGCCTTATAACCTGCATCTAGGAATGCAGAGGGCTTGAGACATTAGCTTTATAGAAAAACATTTATATATTATATTAAATTAATTAAAATTAATGATATATTTTATTTTTAATGACTAAATATAATTAATAATTAGTACGGCTGCTGCTGCTGCTGCTGCTGCTACTGCTGCTGCTGCTGCTGCTGCTGCTGCTGCTGCTGCTGCTACTACTACTACTACTACTACTACTACTACTACTAGAACTACTACTACTACAAATATTACTCACTATGAGGAGCGTTCCTCTATTGTGTAGCGTTGAGCCTGTAGATGTGACATACGCGTCACCCCAGCATCCTTCTCTCCGCTGGCCTCCAGGTAACCTGCCACACAGCATGACCATAAATAAACACAAACAAGGTTTGCGCGAGATGAAAGGGACAACTAATGTAAGGGTAACTAAAGTAAAAGTATTAAAATTCGATCAAAAAAGAGTATTAGAAGTGCAATGGATGGTTTACCAATATCTAAATAATGTACATGGTTATACTGTTACTGTAGCAGATAAGGTGTCTCCCTGGGTACTGCCGGAACGTACCCAGGGTACGGTCCAGTATACCAGAACGTACCCTGGTAACTATCTGATATGGTTAGGGTTAGGGTTAAGGTTAGGGTAAGGGTAAGGGTTAGGGTTAGGGAGTAGGCGACTCTCTAGACTCGTTAGTGGAGTAGGCGAGGTACGGTCCGGCATATTAGATAGTACCAGGGCACGTTGTGGTATACCGGACCGGACCCAGGACCGGACCCACGGTATGTTCCGGCAGTAACCAGGGAGACATAGACCCTACGGGCTTTACTGTAGGATGGGGGGGATAAGGTATATCATTACATGTTATGTTTTGTTATGATCTCGTATGTGTCGGTGTCCACTGCACTGGATATAGTGACAAGTTAGTGAGTGCCTTCAGGGATGAACCCATCAAACAAACAGCAGTCCTCGCCAAAAGCGTCGGACCGTCGGACAAAACCGGTGATTTTTGCACGGGTCCGACAAGAAATTTGGCTTTACCAGACCGTGTGTCAGGTAACATTACATCAACTAATTACGCAGAGGCTACGGGTACTTCAGTACCACGCGGCACGCACTATGCCTAACCCTAATATCCCTGCCTATGGCTGTCTTATATACGCGTGTACCAAATTAATCTATGGTGTGGGAAAGCGATAGGAAGAGATTGGCTGTTATATGATAAAAGATAAGAAAATGATGACATGCGACGTGTGTGTGAACTATCATGGGAAGTTTATATTACTATCACTGATTATACCTGGATCACACAACTGGACAAGGCCAAAGGCCTAGAAATAGGTGAAACCTACATTAATGACAAAGCTGGCATTATCGAATGCATTGCTGATTGTACGCGTCACGAAATGGATGGAAAAATAAACGATGCTAGCTTTTTCAGCTTTATCATGGACGGGTCAACAGACATAGCTGGTGATGAGCAGGAAAGCATATATGTTAGATATGTCCACAAAGGAAAAGCAACAGAGATGTGAATGTGTTTTAATGTTTCAATATTTTTTTGGTCCAGTAACATATCATTCGGTCTGGTAAAAATCTATTTTTTACTGGACCGAATGTCCAGTAAAGGATTTTGTCTTTTGGCGAGGACTGAAACTGGTGCATAATAACCTGAGTGTAATGCTACTAAGTCACAAGTGGGTTCGCGTGCATGTGGGAGCGAAGGCTTGACTTGAAAAGTCAACGTCAGTTGCTTCCACAACACCCACGGGGTAGGTTGTTCCAGATTGGAATCATACGGGGAAAAAATAATTTAAATGCGTTGTTCTTCAATGTTGCAGTGCAAGTGGCGAAATTTGTGGGGTTGTTTCAATGTGGTACCTGACACCCCAGGGGTCACATATCTATTCGCCAGTAGTGCTATAAGGTTTGAGGAGACATTGTTCATTCGCAGGCCCTGTAGGACGGGGGAGGGGAAGAAGAAAGAAGATTACGGTGTGCATTGTCAGGCCCTATGGTTCTGTAGGACGGTGAATAAAAGATACTAGACACAGAGTGTGACGCTTTATCAGAGAGCCATGATAACATTGATATATGATAACTATGCATTTTTAAATTGAAAAATACAAGTATAAATGATGGTTATCAAAATCTGAATGTTGTTTACTGTTTTACTTTACTCACCTAATGATATAGCAGTTTAACTACCTCTAAAACTGTTTTACTCGTGGAGAATTTTGTAATACCCAAAACATTGTCTGCATAAACAAGTTTATGAGAAATCCTGCTACTGGAAGATGGCTGTCAATTGATAACCGCCTTTTCCAGCCAACAGCCATCTTGCAGTCACAAAATCCATTCACAAGATGAGAGAGAACTAAAAACAAGGACTAGAGGCAGTAGCTAACATATTTCTATCATGCATTTCTGCGCTCAACAAGGAAAAAACGTATATTTTTTTTTTGTATATTCCTCAAAAAATGTAACTAAGTAAAAAAACGACGCTGATGCTGCCGACGACGATGATGATGATGATGATGATAATGATGATGATGATGTCAGGCTCACCTTTTTTCTTTGCGAGTTCGAGAGCAGCAGCAATGCCGGCAGCTGCTACTGGCTCCTCATCCAGTACATTTACATCCTCATCCTGTAAGGAGAGGATAGAGAGAGAGAGGTTAATATCATACACACACATGCACGCACACACGCACACACGGACGCACGCACGTGCGCACACACACATACACACACACACACACACACATGCACACACATGCTCACGCACACACACACACACACACACATGCACGCACGTGCACGCGCGCACACACACACACACACCCACACACACTCGGGAATATGTGTGAAAGTATGTGTTAGCATGCTGGCAGCTTACCTTGATCTCTACAGGCTTGCTATCTATCTGCACCTCCTCCCATCCCGTAGCTTTCTGTTCATCTTCTAAATGCTGCTGACGTCTCTGCTCCTTCAACTCTCGCTCAAAGTCCTGAAATCAAAAGCAGAAATAAAAATAAATAACAATTAAAAATCTAATAAAAAAAAATCACATAAAAATAATAGCAGCTGAGCAGACAGACAGCTCATACGCTGGTTGGTTGTTCGTCCTCCATTTCTTTTAACACCTTTTATAGTTTTTAGCAAAAAACTTCTCAGATGTGTTCCAATCCTACCCCGTTATTTTATCATGTTCTAATTAATACGCACCACAGTGCAGCACCTCCCTCTCTCCCAACCACCCTCCCCTCCCACCCCCGCGCGCGCTCCAGCGTACCAGTAGTTCATCTGGGTCGTCGTCGCGGTTACCGGCCTGCCCGTACGTGGGGATGTCGCCCAGGGTACGGCAATACTCCGACGTGGAGTTCAACGTGATGTTGAGAAGACCAGCAGCATCAGCCGTCGCCATGGCGTCGTCGTCGTCGTCGTCGGCGACAGCTTCCGCTGCTGCCGCATCCGCACTCCTTATCCGCATCTCTTCAGCAAGCTACGCGGATGGAGGTTCGTTCGTTATTAAACATCGTTTTGATTACTGATTACGATTGATTTGATTACTGATTAATCTACTTTTAATAAAGAATGTTTATTCTTCATTATTATCGTTATCGTGAGTGATCTTGTTTATTAATTTGTTAATAATTTCTTATTATATTATCACGTAATTGTCTCATTAATATATTTAAAGGTATTTTTATCATTTATTATTATTATGACTAATTTTTAATTTGTTACTATTATTACTTTATCTATGTCTACCAATCGCTCTCCCTTCGTATCTACCCATATCTCTCCCTCCCTCTCCTCCACCAATCTCTCTCCCTTTCCCTTCACCCATCTCTCTCCCTTCCTCTCTACCCATATCTCTCCCTCCCTCTCCTCCACCAATCTCTCTCCCTTTCCCTTCACCCATCTCTCTCCCTTCCTCTCTACCCATATCTCTCCCTCCCTCTCCTCCACCAATCTCTCTCCCTTTCCCTTCACCCATCTCTCTCCCTTCCTCTCTACCCATATCTCTCCCTCCCTCTCCTCCACCAATCTCTCTCCCTTTCCCTTCACCCATCTCTCTCCCTTCCTCTCTACCCATATCCCCCTCTACCATCCACCATCTCTCAATTTCCCTCCCTTTCCTCCACGATCCTCTCCCTCCCTCCGCTACCCATTGCTCTCTACCTCCCTCTTCCTCCACTATCCTCTCTTGTCCTCCCTCTGCTCCACCATCTCTCCCCCTTCCGTCTTCACCTGCGAGACAGCGCCCATACCTGCTCTAACCGTCGCGTCGGCAGCCCTCTGCCTGTCTGCTTCAATTTTGCGGCGCGCTTGTGTAGCGCACCTGTAGTTACCCTTCTGCGGCGTCGTCTTCCTCTATCGTGACAGCCAGGTCAGGTTCCTCTCCGGGCCGCAGAATCTCCGGCATGAACAAGCCGGGCCGGCGCGCAGAGAGAGTGCGGTGATGGTCTAGGCTGCGGCAGTAGGCACACACACAGTAAATGCCGCTTCTCTCACTCAGCTTTTTCGCTCACCGTCTCGCCTCCCCTTCCACCCCTTCCTCTCCTCTCACTCTACTTTTCTTTCTTCTATCTCTCTCTCTCCTATAACTATATACTATCTTTCGCTCTCGCTCTCTTTCCCCTATTATCTCTGTTCTTTTTGACCCTCACCCTTCTTCTGCCTACATGGTACTAGTTAATAAGCTGCCGCGGCGCAGCGACAGCGTCATCTAACGTCTACTGCGGTACTTCTGTCGTTGGGCAACTAGGTCGGATATACTAGGAAACCCTGGTTAGTCGCCAAACCTGTCGTTACATTGAGCAGCGAAACAGTGGAATGACAGGGCATTCGTATCCAAGAACCTCTACTCAAAGCGAGATGTTCCCGTTGCGGATTGTATGCCAAGTACTGCCAGCACCATGAGGGCCCGGTACGTTTAAAAAGTGTACTTCAGTTATTAGATGGGACAGCTCCCCCATCGCTACGTGAGTAGCAACAAACTCATTTGCAAGACAGATAGAGTTAACATCATCCACCCTTTACCTACGCAAGCTTACAGGCCTGCAACTAGAGAGCTGCCACCTCGTTACCATCTAACGCAGGGCAAAAACTACAACAGTTCCACAACACATGCACTGGCAGTTGGCCACTGCAGTGGCATACGTTACATGCTAACATGACTGAATACAGAATGCCATAGAAATTATATTACGATTTAAAGAGATAAACCTTCTTCAAAACCAGTATTTAGCTCTTGAAATATTCTGTGTGACATGGTAGCCTATACATCCAGGCATCTGTATAGAGTTGATAGCGAAACCCGGGCAGTCAAATTCTTGTTTGAGCAGACGAGTGAGAACAGATCCATGTTTAACCCTCTGTGAGGCGTTTCAAAAGGCTTTATCCGACATTACTCTTCGCATGCTCGCAGCAAGGTTACATTTCATGGTCCTTATCAATAAGCCATAAAATGCTGGTCACACTGACAACAAAAAAGTTTTTCAACTCGCTCGTCAGACCATGTCTCAGTAAAATGTGCTAAAATCTTACCGTGTGCATTGAACTTTGACGCTCCAATTTCAGCACGCAGTGATGGCTTTTCCTACCATGCATGCTACTACACCGACTATCTTTACAAGCCCTAGGTCGAGCCGTTTAGATTTGTGCCGCCAATTTCTGCATTTACTCACTTATTACCTTAAGTTTAAGGAAGTCGAATGTTCCACCTTCCTTTTACACTCTTGGACTTAGACCTTTGACCAGCTTCGACTCCCACCTCGTTTTGAGCGATCCCCCGATGTGCACGAATATCGTGAACGTATCGAGCGGTTAACAGATTTGTTGCTGCCAACTGTTTGAACGGGCACGGCAACGCACGCCACGGAACCACCACGGACGCAACCCAAACCGGCCACGAATTCGCTGCGATTCTAGAAGCTGCATCTGGACTATGTCAGCAATGAGCTAATAAATACATTTGACTCATATCTATCTATTTATTATTGCCTGCCAATTACAAACTACACTGACGAGAATCCACACCGGCCGAGGCACCGCGCTTGTTCGCCGCACCACCGCAACCACAACCAACTGGAGATCTCCCGATCTTCCGCCATCCCTCGCAGCCGCCTCGACACTGTCGCGCCCTCTATAATCACGTTCGTCGAGGCCGGGGCAGCCGGGAGGTCCTCACCTCCTCTCCAGCTCCTTCAGCATCGATCTATCAGCGGGCATGCGGCTCCTGGCTGTGTGCCGGCGACGACGCACCCGCCCCCGGGGCAGACTTCATTGACGGCCTCGCGACCTGCGCGCGCGCCACACTACGCGCCCGATTCGTGCCGAAGGCAGCGTCGCAAGGCAGAGAGAGAGAGAGAGCAGAAGACCTAGATAGAGCCGCCGAGAGCCCGGCCCGACGAAGAGAGAGAGGAGAGGATAGTAGAGGAGAGAGAGAGAGTAGAGAGAGACAGGACGCGCTAAGCTCCCTCGCCCTGACAGAGAGAGAGAAGAGAGAGAGCGACGAGAGAGAGAAAGATGGCGGTAACGAATTTTATCAGATGTAAACGGGCCCGTTCTTATCATTTCAGTGTAGGTAAGGACACAGATAAATATATAATCTCAATATACACTAAGTCCCTTGAGTCGTGAATTTATTTGTAACTAGGGAATCCCGAACATACAAATGTAAGTGATAAGTATAAAGTATTGTGCTACCAAGAATATACCCTACAGTATCAAATTGTATATAGTCATAAATACTATTGTACGTATGTAATAACGAGAAAACTGAGCTTGCGACAAGCGCCATCTGCTGGAACATGTTCCATGTACATACTTGGAAATAAAAAAAATTATAAAATAAAAACAATAATTTATCAAAGATCCTGATACACTTTAGATTTAATGCTAGCTGTACTTTTAGCTTAAACTTAAGGTTCCCCGACGGTCAAACGTCAAGGGTCACTCGAGGGTGAACATGCGTTTTAAGAAATGGTTCAGCTACAAGGTTTGAGGAAGCCATAGCTTAACTAGCCACTACTACAGACAATATATATGAATCTAAATATAACCCTGATAGAATTACAAAATAATGGCAGCACACAGACCCCTGTGAACGTCCTGAAGCATATCTTATTCCAAGAAATTCTAAGCGATGGCAAATTTTTTTTGGACAGAAACCTTAACAGATCATCTAAAGTGAAATCTAGATCTCAAGATTCACTAACAAAATTAAGAAACCTAGGGAGTTAAGAATCAAGAATTAATCAATTATTAATTCATACTATTTAAACTTTTAATAAAATTAGTAAAGTACTAAACCTACATTAAAGGCATACTCTCCACCTTTTGCGCACGCGCTAATTGGCT